CCTGCCAGCTCCTCAGGAAGAAGATGATTTTAGCGTGCTATCTGATGCTTGAATTGAAACTGTATAAAAGTAACAGACTTTTCCACCAAAATCTGGATCCAAGGTAAAAAAAAACAGAATTTGATTGTTTTGAGCAATGAGATCAAATGGGTGAAAACTGAAACTCTTTTTTCAGTTTTTCAGTCAAAGATCAAAAACCAAATATTGTTCTTTTTCAGCTATTGGGAATTGTTCATTTTCTTGACCATTATTCATTTGTTTCTGTACTTTGAAGTTTCAACAACTGTTTGGTCAAGTTCCAACTGCAGTAACAACTTGTTATGTATTTGTTGTTGACTAGAATACAGTGACTAAAATACAGAAAGTTGAATTGTTTTTCTTATTATATTATATTAGCAACATTAGCAAAATTCAAGTAATCGGTTTTTATTTCTTTTCGAGTAAGCGATAATCATATTCATAACTTCAAGTAATGGGTTTTAGTTGCAAAGTCAAGTGGTGTTTGTTTTAGCTCAATAATAACTGAATAGTAATTAAATTAGGTACAACCTCCATTGTTAGATGCATGAATAGTATTGTAGTTGCAGTTGTAAAAGAAGAAAGTATCTTTTGCTTGTGGATCAAAACATGTTCTGGGTTTTATTGTCAATGTGCTCTGCTGCTTCTGCTTCTGCTTCTGCTTCTCCTGCTTCAGGTCCAGTTTTCCAGTTGTTCTTGTAAATTGTCCCATCTCATTTTGAAAAAACAAAATAAATTATATATAAAAAGTTGATGTTCTTTCCATGATTGTTTTCTTTGTCCCATTTGTTTTCTCTCTCTCTCTCTCTCAATAAGACTCAGTTGGTTTGTTTTAGCTTGAAGCATTGGATCAAATGATTTGTGAGGGTGAAGGTGAACCAACAAACTGGAAACTTTTGCTTGACCAAAATGACCTTGAAAGAAGAACCTAATGGCTTTTTTTTTTTTTTTTTTTCTTGATGGGATATGTTTGATTGTGACTGGAGAAGATCCCAATCCCTTCAGTTTCTGAACATAATAAAAAATTGAAAATTAATATCTGCCTTGAAATGAACGATGTATCCGGGTAATAGGAGGTGCCAGCCATCTGCCATGCTACTATTCTTATCGAAGAATCAGTCAGACACTAGGATTTATTAAATCCTCGTATGGAAATTTAATATGCTATTTAAATTCGTAAAGGATTTTCAATAAAAAAAGAAATATTCATAAAAGATTAGTGTCAATAACAAGGGCATTTTATTATGCCCACAAGTAGGGTACCTAGCAAAAAAACTTTCTTATAACGGGGATAATACTGTTACTGCATTATTAGTCGGGGATAGCGCTATCCCAGTTACATGAGGGTTTCTCTCAGTACTTAGGGCCCGTTTGGTTCACGAAATAGATTTTAGAGAAAATCATTTCCCATATCATTTCCCAAGGAATGAAAGATTCCTTTTCTATATTTGATAATGTTGAGAAAGTAAACGGGAGATATCACTTTATTTTCTTTCCCATATTTATTTTGAGTATGAATGGAAAACAAAGTTTGATTTACCCATATTAAATCAAATAAAAAAAATGCATTTAATGATATATTGTAATTCTAAATTGTTAATGGGGACAAAATAGTCATGAAAAATGTTTATTTAACGTTAGCTCATTTTCTCAAACTTTCTCATGAGGAGGGAAAACGAAACCAGAAAGCGAGAAGGGCTTCACTTTCCCCCTTACTTTCCCATGTGTCAGACAACCATTTCACATGCATGAACTTACCAAATATGGGAAAGCAATAGATTTTCCATCCCCAAGCCATCTTTCCCATGAACCAAATAGGGCCTTAGTTATTATATGGTCTTGTCAGGGTTTTTTTTTTTTTTTACACGTGAATTCTTGGTTCATAAAATAAACTCAAAGTAGAGTAAAGCTAGATGTACCATATAAAGATACGATTGTAGATTGCCGGTTTATTCGGGAGTGTTGTTTTTTTGGTCAAATAGGTTTGTTTGGGAGTGTTTCTATAGAAACATGTTGAAAGTGCTTTTTACATCAAATATTGTTACAAGTACTTCTTATACAGAAGTGAAACTCACAGGTATAAGCGAGTTCGATTTTTATTAGAGATGTGGTTCATAATGTGTATCATGATATGATAGATAGCTGACAAATGTGACTTGCTCAACTAACTATCCTCTGTTTTTCCATCCAAGAAAAAGTAGGAAAACTATAGAGAGATAAAACAGAGAACAGTGTTTGGAAGCATTTGTCTTGGACTCTCGGCTGCCCTTATTTTGGTGCAGTCTAATGATTCTGCATTTGCTTTGACCAAAAGGCAAACAATGCTTGAGAAATACTGGCTTTTTCTTTACCATCCAGCCTCCTTTGCTTTAACATCTTTATTAATTATTCAATGCTAAAACTCTTTTGCTTTTAAACCCCTAAAATTATTCAATGCTAAGTTGTGGTCAAGCTACAGAAAGTCATACTTAAATAACATTGTATTAACTGTGTGTAGTTATTTGTATTTATTTATACTAGTTTGCATGGCTGACGATTTAAGACCTAAATTACAAATGCAATCTATCTCCTTTTTCTAAAAATTAACATGATTTATTTTGGGGGGCGCTTTCAGAAACTTAAATAACGTGTTAAACATGACCGATGTTAATGTTATGTAAAGACTTTTCTTCTTTTTGTTTAAATGAGACCTAAAAATTTGAAGAGGAAGTGAAGAATAATAATAGCTCTTACCAACCGAGTTGTGAGTCCTTACCTTATTTAAAGACTTCATTACAGGATAACTTGTTACTCGTGATCCTTGTCATTCAAAGAGAAGTTCCATTCTAAAGAAAGGGTTGAGTTTTTTGCCCATTAGAAGTCAAAAAACTTACTTGTAATGGGTATATCACTATTTCGCTATTCCGGTTAATAATATAATGACATGTGAAAAATTTATACGATATGTCATTATGTTAGTGGTCAGGAATAGTAAAAAGTGTTATTCCCGTTGCATGATAATTTCTCTCTTTAAACTCTAATAGTTGGTTTAAAAAATGCTTATTGGGATTTGAATCATTGAATTTCAGTCAAACAGTTGATAATCATGAATTTATAAATAGTGAGGAAGAAAACTTATTAAGATGGATCCCTTTTGTTAAAAGGTTTTGGGATTCAAAGATCGGGACCCTCCATTTGATATTTATCCATGTAACGATCATCCTCACAAAATGAACAAGTATGAAAATCAGTTATTCATCTAACTATGACCAAATAAATAGACGAACAAAGTGACTCATAAAATATTTGATAATCCAATACTCATACAATTTCCAATTTTATTGACTAAATTATAAAGTGTTTCTCACACATGCTACTAAGGTGCTATAAGGTTCAAATATAAGACCACTGATATACAAGTCAAGACCCTTTTCCACTAGACTAAACCTCGTTAACTACATGAATAATTCTTAAATGTGAATCTAAAACGACAATATGATGCCTTTTGACTCTCTTAAAAAGAGATTCCCCTTAAGAAAGATTTATATACCCTATTTTTTTGTACCCATGATGTAGATAATTTGAAGTTGGAAAAAAACAATTATAATACAAATAGATAAAATAATTCTAGTTAAATCATAAATTACTCTAATCTAGTGAAAGGGGGACCAAACTCGGATGCAAGTGAGTGGACACACTTATTTTGGCCGACTGGCAAACCACATCTACAATGTAAACAACTGATTTGACTGTCGTAATTTCGATTAGTTTGTTAATTAAAAAGAAAAAGGAACAATGTCCTTAATTTACCCGACCCAATGAGTCCATATCAAGAATTATGTTCCTTACGATACGGAAAGGACCACCAAACCTCTGCTCATCTTGCCACATAGCAACCATTAAAGGCTTAATCCTATAATTTACAATGGCAATTTGGTCAGTCTGTCTGACTTATCGTTTTCATCTATTTTTATGCCCTTCTTTATTATTATTTTAAAATCAATCAACTTTGAGCTATCAATAATATATTCTAGATAACCTAAACGGTGATCTACTAGTCTGCATGACGATATCCATTGTTCCAATTCTAGTTAGGAATTAAATACTAAAGAAATTCGTAATTGTTCTTGGAGATATAGATTTGCTTGTTGTGTTTGTCATATTTAAATGATTAAAAATGTCTTTTGACAACTAAAAACGTGTTTAATAACGTTTAGCAGAAAATTAACCCGTTCTGCTAAACGTTATTAAACACTTTTTTAGGGTTTAGGATTTTTAATAAAAGTTTTGACGTGCTTTAAATAAAAATGCTTCTTAAAAAAAATGCTTATGAGCAAAAGTGCAAAAAAAAACTTTCCAACAGGCTTGCAATCAATCTTTGAAATTCAGATTAAGCTTTAATAATCATATTATAATCGTATTACATGCATTACGTGTGTAGCATATGAATCTTGTCTAGTTGTCTTGCTTTTTTTCTTTATTTTTTACTCGCTTTTTCTTTTTCTTTTTTGATTTCGAGGAACACCCTTCAAAGGCACGGCCACACTAGACTCATCCATGTCAGGTGAACCCCGGCCCCATAGTGTGTGTGCTGGTAAATCAGGAACTCACACAACAACCGTACGATTTGAACATCTGACCTCTGAGCTTTACCAACTCTGTCTTCACGTGATCCAATTAAGCACATGAAAGTGTTTATTTTCATACCATTAATCGCGCTCCCAACCAAGAGCACTGGACAATTCTATATAGTTCATCAAGACCACCTGCTTTGCCTAATTTTCTACAGAATTCCTAAGTTCCTTTCATTACTTCAAAACAGGGACATGGCGTATGTTAATTTTAAAATTTTCACTTTCATCAAAATTCTAAGCTTATATTTCCTGTCCAAACACGGGGAGTGAATTTACAATTCGACTCCAATCACACTGCGCTGGCCTAACACACGTATGTAATTATATCTCGTTTGATTGATTCATAAGCAAATACGGTAAAACTCAGTCTGATTTGAAGCAATGCAGATTATTAAAGTAAGCACAACCAAGATACATGATTCATTACAAGGTTTAAACATAGTATATATACTCTCTTTTTTATGGTGTTACAACCCACTTATTAGGGAAACCCAATTCAATCATGTTTAACTGCTAATTATCGCGCAATTTTCAAACTTTAGAGATAACTTGTGGCAAAGGCTTTATCTTCCCCAACAACTTTTCAGCCTCAAGAAATCCAAATGGTCCCATGGCTATATATTTCATACACTTCCATCTGTTCAAGTATAATCAGGTATGTCAGTGTAGTGAACAAGTAGGATCTCAGAGAAACCTCAGATATAGAGCAAACTGTGAAAGCCCGAAATAGCTTTACCTGGGTGTGTATGGCAGTGCAAAACAATGGAGGTGAAGATGGTTAACAGAGTTGCATGGAGGTTGATGAAAGCCAAATCTATCAAAAGGACAGTCTAAAATCACACTCAAAACTCTTTCATAACCGAAGTCGTTTGGAGAACCTTTGATCAAAACGAGAAAAATCAACTATCATTTTGTCCGATTAATGATGCACACATGCCTGGTCTAATTCCAGTTTGATTATTCACTTATTGTGTGTAATCACTCAAGGATTCACAAGTATTCTTACAAACTCAATTACAGAAAGATCCTCTTCAAAAGAAGATGCAAAGGAACCAATTGGTCAGGGTATACACCAGATCACAGAATTTATGAAGATTCACATTCTTCACCGGCCCATTTCTGCATTAAGCAATCTCCTAGACATGATTGCAGAAATTTTTCTTTTTGTTCAAATCCTTTGGTCATGCAATAACAAGTTTTTAAGCATATAGTCTTTGATGAAAGAAGGAGAACAGTGTTCTAAAGAAACTTCAGTTAAGTTATGCTGTATGAAAAACAAAGATTATTCAGTTTTTTGTTTTCTCTCTTACAATGTATTCATTCTTCAGTTCCGTTTTTCCAAAATTTCATTGCTCATTTTTTTTTTCATAAGAGAAAGAGGCTCCTGGACGACAACCTAATAAAAGAATAATTAAAATGCATAAAATGCAGTTTTCTGGAAGGTGTGTAACTAATGTGGACAGCATAATGGCTTGAAACAAATTTTAACACAAATTTTCTCAAGTCAAGATCAATCTATCTGAGCACACAAATACAAACCAGAAAATAATGCTAAGAAAAAGAGATTTTCAAGAACAAGGCAATACGAACAAGGCAATACCTGTACTGATGGCATTGAGGTGCATCTCGTTGAATTAGCGTTTTCCCCACTTCTAACATGTGATTTACTGAAAACCAATGAAGCAATGGAATATAAGATTAAGAAATTTATTGATGACCAAAAGGCAAGAAAAGTCCCAAATTTGTTCAATCATGCATGATTTAATCTAAAGTTGTCAATATTTAGATTACCCAAAGAGTAGTCTTCAGGTCTCCTTTGAAGATCCTTAACAGTTGGAATGTGATCCACAGGAATAACCAAGTAATGCCTACACAAAATTGTCATTTGACTCCCCCTCTCTCTCTCTCTCACTTCAATCAAAATGGCTAAATATTGATGAATGGAAATTGGGGAAATTCATCCAGTACCTTACGGCAGCCGGGCGGATGTCTTGAAAAGCAACGACCTTGTCATCCTACAGGAAAACCCAGTGACCAATTACAGCCTTAGGATCAACATAAGTACCAAAATCACTGTTTGGTTGCTGAGAAAAAGGAAATGGGATGAACCCATTTGGCAGCTCACCTTCCTCAGCAACCAAACCAAGTAAAAGCGCAAAAGAGAGAGAGAGAGAGAGAGAGAGAGAGCAGACAGTGTGGAGGAGAGTGGTAGAGGTGGATTTGCTGGCGATCTGGCAGAAGATGCACTGTGATGCTGCTGCTGCCGCCGCCATTGACGCGTTCCTGGAAGTTGGAGGTTCCTCTGTGCCTTTGTCATATCATTTTATTTTGGTATTTGGATTGGATGACACTTGGGTTTGGTTTGGGAGAGTTAACCTGAAATGTAAAGCACTCATACTTTTCCTTCTGCTGCTGCCTTATTTATTCTTTTCGTGTCGATACTGTATTCTTCGATCGACCTTTCATCTTCTTTGTTGAACATTTTCTTAACATTAGTTATTGTAACAAATGACATAAAGTTAAAAATATGCATTTTCTCTGTGAAAACTAAAACTGGGATGGTATGGGAGGTAATGGTAAAGTTTAAAATATTTGGAATTTGAGACACTCATGAGAGAGGATATCCAAGAGAGTATGCAAATGAAATAGGCAAAATTGTACTATAACAACTTAAGTGGCATGTTGCTTACCTATTTGCCTCATGAAAAGTTGGTCATTCCAAGCAAAAAAAACTTACTTACTTGTAACGGAGATAGCACTATTTTGCTATCCCAGACGAATAACACAATGACATGTGAAAAAGTTATCCTACGTGTCATTGAGTTATTGGTCTTGGATAGTAAAAAAATGTTATTCCCGTTGCATGAGAGTTTCTCTCAACCCTAAGAGCATCCGCAATGATGCTCTCTATTTCTTAGCTAAAAATATAAGAAAGCTATTTTAGGAGCTCTCTAAAAAATTTCAACTCCAACCATACTCCCTAATTTGGAGAGTCATAAATGCTATAACTCTTTTTTGATTAGTTCATCTCTATTAAAAAATAAAATAAAAAATAGTTAGCATTAAATAAAGGTTTGAAATACTCATTAAATAAGGCAGCATTAAATTATAGGAAGCCACTAGGAGTCCTTTCTCTCTCCTCAGATTTAGGAGCTCCTAGAGGACTCCATATTTTAGGAGGTGGATAGGGAGCATGGTTGGAGTTGTATTTTTACAATGCCTCCCTAAAACTTGTCTAAGGAGGTGATTTAGGAAGCCCATTGTAGATGCTCTAAGAGACTAGGCATTGCAAATATACAAACCATTATCATATTATTTATTTCTATCTTTATTTATTACATTATTTATTTTTATCTTTTTTTTTTTGGTGAACTGGATGGCAAATGCCCAACAAAAACACTAAGGAACAATAAGTCTTGGTAAAGAAACCCTACACAAATCATTAACAAACAAATGGTTCACAACATCAGGGGCATCATCCCAAAAATGAATACCCAAAGGCTTGGCGACTCCGATGGTAGCAAGCATATCAGCAAACAGAATTACTTTATCTGAAAACATGTTGAATTCGACACACTCCACCATTCATAATAGCTTCGCAGCTAGAGATAAGGCTGAATAAAGGGCGAAGAGGATCACAACAAGGCGCATTCACAAGCTCCACAGCCAACTGGGAGTCGGACTTCACAATCAGAGGAAAACAATTAATTTGATTAGCAAGACGCAAACCATAGAGAATAGCTCACATTTCCGCTTGTAAAACAAAACCAATCCCAATACATTTCGAATTAAGCCCCCAGTACCAATAATCCTTTACTCACCTTTCCTGCAACCATTAGTATTTGTTTGTACCATATCTGACCCTCCACTCATACAACGACATGTGGATCAGAAAAGCTCACCCAAGTACCCAAGGCCTCGAACAATCGGCATCGGCTACCGATGACATTGTCTCAAAGCTGCAAACAACCGATACAGGCCCAGCTCGTCTACAATCGGCACCCCATACCGATTGTACATAATCAGCCTTGAAGCACCCGCCCGAAATATCTAAGGACTCGTGTCAACCTCACAGGGCCCTCCCACGAGTCCCACATCGGAAATGAACACCACAAGCATCCCAAATGCCCTCTATAAATACACCCCTTCACCATCAACAAAGGGGTAAGACTTTTCAGCTTGACTTTTATACTTCTATATGGTCAACAGCAAGAGCTCTTAAAAACAATCTTACTTGAGCATCGGAGGGTCTTAGGCTGGTTCCACACCGGTTCCATAGACAGTCAATTGCCGAACGGTTATATCCAAGATTCCCAAACCCATAATCCAATTTTCATGGGCCCACCACAAGTTGAAATCTGAACCAAGTGGTGGCAACTAAACTTTGCAAGACACAACCTCATGGTTTCCTTCTCTAAAACACCAAGAGTACGACATGCCGTTCGGCACCACTCAATATTTCCTTTCGGCAGCTAGTACTAACATGCTTATTTAGCATTTAGCATAAATGCGCCTTCAGCGGAATATTTCAGTCACTCATACCACATACCAAGCGGTACAACTCATACCACATTGCCTTTCGGCACATAAGCATCACTATATGCGCATCATTGCCTTCGGCACATATGATCACCAATATTCGGAAGACATATCTTTGCAAAAGCAACCTCCCGTTTGGCCACCTTGAACTTCAATTGGGAAGATGCCAACCAAAATGTGGCTATACTTTGCATGGCTTGCATGGCTTACATGACCAAGTCAAGAGTGACTCCACCATCTCAACAAAATTCAAAGTGCCATTCGGCAATACCTCCACTCCATCTATCCCTTACCGTGTGGAGTCAAGATAATTTGGTCAAGAGGCACGGGTAGATCATTACCAAACGGTAACCTCTCTTATCACCCTGCCTTTGGAGTTCGGAAGACAAGTGCCGAACGGCAATGTTAAAATCCTCAATGGGAATGCGGCATAAGCAAAGCCCCATTGCATGGATGACTCCACAAAAAAATCTGACAGTCTCTCTATGCCGAACGGCATCCCAGTGTTCTCAAAAAATTGGCAATAGCCATCATGCGATGCGATCGTTGCCTTTGGCACCCCGTCAGCATTCGGCGCGAGCGATGCCTTCGGCACCCCACCATCATGCGGCGCGAGCGATGTCTTCGGCACCCCACCATCATGCGACGCGAGCGATGCCTTCGGCAACACGTCAGCATTCGGCGCGAGCGATGCCTTCGGCACCCCGCCATCATGCGACTCGAGCGTTGCCTTCGGCACCCCGTCAGCATTCGGCGCGAGCGATGCCTTCGGCACCCCGCCATCATACGACGCGAGCGTTACCTTCGGCACCCTTGCATCATTCAATGCGTGCGATGTCTTCACATCCCCCCAATGATTCGGTATCTGCCTTCGGCCTTCGGCACCCTATCATCATGCGACGCGAGCGTTGCCTTCGGCACCCCGTCAGCATTCGGCGCGCGCGATGCCTTCGGCACCCCGCATCATTTCATATGAGCGATGCCTTCGGCACTCCATCATCATTAGG